CCTCCTGTCACCTGAAAGAGAAATATCTATAAATTCTATTCTTATTTAAAAACTTACTGTTTGATTAATAACTGCAAATATAAAACAAAAAGAAGCAATACTACATTGTAGCAATATAATTGTGCAAAACTCCAATGGCTAGTGGCTTTGCTGTCTTCATTAAGTTCTGAGCTGTAGGCATGCTCTTGTGTGTAGGTGTGCTCAAATTTGAATATAATACACAAAACGTACAGGGCTGTGCCATAAAAACTGAGTAAAAACTAGCAATTTCCTTGGTAATCTACTCAATAAGAAAAATCATAATATTGGTACACTTTCATATTATCATAATACCATTTTATTCATACTATCATATTATATTACCATAATAAATCATATTATGGTACACTTCAGACTGCAAGTCTAAAGACTACCTCGTGTATATCTGATCTATTTAAGTTACTTTCATACTTCCACAGTTGTTACTCTAATAATCTTCAGAAGCAGTGACAGTAACATGATTTTAACAATTTCAAGTTTCTGATATTGTATGTGGGTATACACTTCAGATTTTCCTTTCTATTAGAATATTTGCATAATTAGAAAACCAAAACCTATATCGAAGTATTCTCTAATGCCTAATAATAGAGGTTGTTATTTTTCCAGTTACCTACCAATTACATTGGTAATTATCACTATTGAATTCACTCTGTGAAACTTGGTAATTGGCAAACGGCTGCCAGAAAGTTTTAAGCTATAATATCAGAAGAAATTAACTGTAAAACTTGCATGAATTGGAGCACTTGATAGTAATACATGGGAAAATATTTGGGGGAATAAAAAGGAAAAAATATGCAATTCAAGACAAGATTCACAAAGTATAAGGGATTGTCATAGGAAAAAATTCCTAGGCCAGGTTTCAGAAAGCTGGTGTAACTTCTTAGTGCAGGAGAGCCAGCAAAGCCTTCTGTAAGCCCTAGGTGCAGAATTTGCAGAAATGCAACAAAATCAAAATGTTGGACTTACTCTACACACAGAGGATGCTCTTGACTTTCAGTATCAAATGCAGCCCCCTCTGCCTTTGAGATGTAAGCGGTCCACACATATGCAAACCAGTTGTGCAGCACAGTGTAAATGTCCTTGAATTTAAGAACCTGTAACTAAAATTGAATTTTAGAGTCTATGCTGATGGCAAGTGCCCAAAAATTGGGCTTGCAGTTCTCAGTATTGCAGCACGGTGGTCTTTTCAGATTAGTCTAATTAGAACGAAGAACAATCTCTTATCTTGCTCAAGTTTTGAAGAATTAATTCAGTATTTACAACACTGGATAACGTATACTACAGATAATTATACTCTAATCTGGAGCATTTTCAAATCTTCCTGCAGTCTCTGACTGAATGAGCTTCTGAAGTTATGGACTCAACAGACCACCTGGATATAGTGTTTTATTAACAAAGCTAAGTATATAATCAAATCCTGTTATCACCATGCAGTCATTACATATTCCAAAACTATGGGAGTAATTTTTTCTCTGTGAGAGAAAGCTAACACAAAAATTTGTAGATATCTCACTACACAAGACACCATGCGCTATTCTATTAATGATCTTAAATAAAATGGATGACATGCTATACACTTGAGTCTCTACCTCTTTGCAACTGATTTTTCATGCTCATGTTTTGTTCTCTGCTTTTGGGAAGCAGGGGAGAGCTCTGTGACGAGCACTGCTCTGCCGCTATGCCTGCAATCAGCAGATGAACTGGTTTCCTTCATTACGCTTTCAGCCAAACACACAGCACATGCAGAAGCCAAAGGAAAGGGAGAGAAAGGAAGGGAGAGAGATTAATGCTGATAATAAAAACTCGGAGATACCGATGAAGATAAAAATAATAGGGTCATTGCATACCTAAATGGAGTTTTATAAATTAGCACACTTCTGACTTCCCTCTGTTGGTCAATCAATTATTTCAAATTTTGCTCAGTATTTTTAAGATAAAATGTAAGTGAAGTCAATCTGGTCTAATTAAATGAGCTACAGCTATTTTAAAAAATATTACTATGCTCTGAAACAAGTGGATAATGAGTCAATTATATATTTATTACACACATACTATATTGAACAACTGCTAAGTCAGCATCATTGCTAATTAGTGTTATTTCCACTCATAGAAAATTCATTAAAATACTCCTACTAACAATTATAAAAATTACAGGCATCATTTACAAAAGCTTTAGAAGCTAAACTATTTTCATAAAAGATGGAAAGATTAGATTTGTAGATTGCTAAGTTTGAAGATGAAGTGAATTTATAATTCATCTTTTGCTATTTCAGAGCATTAAAGATCTACTTTTCTTCCCGCTTCTTAAAAAAGCTTCCTAGTATTTGACTGAAGTACAACCAGAGAGAGAGAGCTTCTACTTCATTCTAGGCAAGTGCAATTGTTATGCTGTTGACTGGGGCTCTAGAGAAAAGAAAGACCTGCACAGTACCTGGACTTCAACGGAATGAAAAAATTGCCATAGCTAAAGAAAAGTTTAAAAAACTTTCTGCCCATTCCTCACCAACATCCTTCAGTTGACCATGCCCACAGTTTTACCAGATCTGGAAACAGGTGACAATAAAAAGGATCAAGTGAAAAGAAGCTTTTCTTTAATTTTAGACTCTGAGATGGTAAACACAAACAAGGATCTTTTCCATGAAAGAAGTAAACTTTACCTCAAATTCTTCACAGTAGTTAATATACAGATCCAAGTTTGTCTTCTAATTGGAGATTTGGTGGAACTTTAAGTAAAGACCTTGCATGTAACAGCTTAAAAACTTCTCCAATATAGTATAGTTCTTGGCCTTTCTGATAATTTTTGCTCAAATATTACCAATTCATCCAACCATACTTAGAGGAAAAAATGGAAAAAAAAGGGTACTTTTAACTACATTACATGATCTGGATGACCAAGCAGTCAGATTATCCTTATTTTTAGACATAAATATCTTCTTTTTGGACAGAATATTAAGGGTAAACTGATTGTACCCTCCCACATTGGCACCCTCATACTTCAGGTAGCAGACACTTTACCAAAAATCTCTGACTTCCTTTGTGGACAGGGTTCATGAAACACTTCAGTCTCTAATTTTCTTTTTCTGTTGAGGTAGACTACTTATTCCAAGCCTACTAATCACTACAAAAAATTGACAGCTATGAAAAAGACAAAAAAGTTTTTGGAATCTGCTTAAATAGGAGAGCCATAACTACCTACCTTCTACCTACTATGGAAACATCCTGACCTCCGTCCCTTTCAAAAAAAGTAATCCCTCCAGAATGCGAAAGAACAAATGGTCAGAGTTGCAGGCAACGCAAGAAGAGTCTGTTCTCCTTCACATGCAAAAGAGCAACTTCACCATTTTTGCTGATGAGAATTGAAAGAGTGGGATTTGTAGGAAACCAAGTGGCATCAAGCTGAGATGCCTGGAGATCTAGAGCTTTTTTTTTTTGGTTAAATTCACACAGATCTTTCAGAAGAATGGTTGATCAAATAGGGATGGGCTCTGCCTTTCATTCACAAGAACTAAATTCAATTTCTTGCTCTCTGTATTGGCTTAGAAGAAGTCTCTATCTTTTTATAAGAATATGATATTGAGAACTATGATAAAAAGTGAGACCTTCATTGCTATAACAATGAAGCAAGAAAAATATGTAGAATACATACCAGATACCTTAAGGATATATAGTAGATTATCTTTAAAATAACTCTAAAACAGTCTCCTGGTAGAGCCACAAGCAGTTGTGGCTCTTGGGCAGAAAATCTGTTAATATCTCTTTATCCTTAAAAAAATTTTATTAGCTCTTTTGTTTGTATTAAAAAGGATAAAGAAAGTGATAGGACTGATGGCTTCAGTGGCTGAAGTTTTTTGAGGACAAACCAGACACCCGCTAGTAAGATATACTTACATACAGTTAATCCTGCTCAGGGAGAGAGTGATGGTTTCGGTGAGCTCTTTATGTCTGCGTTTTGTGTGATGCTCATTAACTGAGTGAATTCCTTATATGAGGGAATAAACATAACTAATCTGAATGAGTCCAGTGTCCAAACACAGAGCGTCACATAACAACCTATTTCCTCCCACTTCACCACAGCTGCTTAGTAGACTCTCTAAAATCCCATTTGCCTAGAATTTGCCTTTAAGTCTTGAAGTCTTTCCTCCTCCTCCTCTGTCAGCGTTACCTTCACTTTTTGGCATGTGCGTATATTTGATAGGACTTCCAATAGTGGTATTTTTTGATAAGATCTTTGTATATGAAGTACAATTTAGGAACCAATATCTCTGATCAGCGTGTTATCTGCAGGTGTTACTGTGAGCACGGTCAACAAAACAAACCATTTTCTTTTTAAATCTAGAACAGCATTGCCATGGATCAAACCAACAAGCAACATTATTTTTGGAAACTGACTTTGATTTGGACACCAAGTTCATATATAGGGAAGCAAATTTTCACTTTAACATTAGGTCTAGAATTCTGCTCACTATGGTTCTATCACTATCCGGTAGATAATGACCCCAGGCAGACTTTTGGGAAATCGTAAGGATTTTCAGATAAGCATCCTGTATCTAGCAAGGTGATTAGTAATCATAATTCTACAGAGTCTTTCTAGCTACAATAATACCATTGAGCTAAAATAGCTCAGACTGGCAAGGCATCTCGTAGTGTGGTCATCTGTAAGCCCATTATGAAATTATTCTCATTTCAATGTAAGAGCAAATTAATCAAGTTCACATTATATAATTTATGCTCCTATGTTATGTAGCAGATGCCTAATTGTGGTGGTCCCAGACTAACAGGGTGATTTTAAAACCACGCTGAACATGGCTGCAGGGCGATCATGCAGAAATTTCCCCCACAGCTGATTTCTCCCCACCTGTGCACAGTGCAATGCAAAAAAATGAGAGAAAAAAAGGTAAATAAAATCAAAAGACGTGTGATGGGCAAGCAGGTCAACTGCGTGGACAACACGTGCAATATACCTCAGAAACACTATAGGTGGATGAGCACGAAGGGAGCCGAGCCTGGTGGTGCAGTGGGGAAAAGAAAACATTGTTAAAAAAGAAATGGTGGCACAGTAAGGGTCTCAGAAGGTTTTCTGTACAGGTGGCTCCAGCACTGAGATAGTAGTATGGGGGTTCATTAAGTTTCCAAGACCAGCTATTTCAGAATCTCCAAATTTTGGCTTTTTAAGGTGGAAGCTTCTTAAAAGAAAAATGGTTTTGGATTTATAAAATAGTCAAAACTAATGATGAATCTGAAGAAAAGTGTCAGTCTTTATTCTTCTAGAAAACTGACATTGTGACAAGAAAACAATTGATAACTTGAATATCAATTGAAAACTAATTCATAACTTTTTTTTTTTTTTTAATCTTACCTCTTCAAAAAACAGAGCAAGTTGTAAAGTCTAAATTACTAATGACTAGATACAGGGCAACAAAATTCTACATGCTATGTCTCTCAGTAATACAAAGGGTTGGGATTCCTATGGGACGCTGCTCACTGGCAGCATCTGTCAACACAGGTACAACTTCACTGGGAACATTATAGCTTTAATGATAGAAGTTGTCCTGAACCTAAATTGTTTGTTTGTTTTTTTTTGTTTTTTTTTTTTGTTTTGTTTTGCCTTTTTTTAATGCAATAACACAGCAGAATTGCTTCGTTTACAGTAGTAGCTCACTTTTTCCATATTAGTACATCACTCCTAAATCAGAGAGAAGTCAAAAATTTTCTAAAATTAAGAGTTTCCAGTTATTTACAGGATTTTCCTTAATTGAATCTGAAAATCCTTTCTTTGGCTGAATATGTTTCATATTTCAATTACAAAGATTAATCTCAATTTTAGGTTTTCTTTCTTTACCTTGTGTTAGTTTACTAATGATCTGATTACAACTGTCTGTGAAGATGAAAAACACCCTAATAAATGAAATGACATGGTTCCTATAAATACATTATAAAACTCCTCTTGTTTTTTTTTTCCTGAAGGTGGAAGAATGAATCATCAGAATTCTATGCAAAATTCCTTTAGAGTACAAAAAAAATCTTCACCATATAACACTTCAGATGCACTGATGTTAAAGTGAACCTAGCAATTATTTCCACATAAATTTTAAGTGATCGCTTCCTGACTTAGGTATTATGATGGACTGAGCAGAGAAGATGCCACTCAAAGCCACTCATGAATGTTCTTCAATTTCTGACATAAACATTTCATAATTCTTCACTAAAATCAAAAATATCACTTTCAGGAAAGCTCTACATTCCTATTTGTCTGTGATCATTTATGTCGTCATATATAACACATACATCTGTACTTCCTCCTACATACATATAATACATATATAGATGTATGCGATACATCCATAGATCTGTTTTTATAGGCACAAAATTTATAATGCTCTCACTAAAAATATATTTTGCTCTGACATTCTGTATAAATCACTAACTAAATAATATTACTGAGGACATCGGAATGACTTTGGACATTTTAAGCGTTCACATACTCTAAGACACTACCTCCCTTCCTTTAATGGTATATTTACTTCTGACAACATGGTATAGTGAGCTGATTTACAGAAGGATTATGTCACAATTAGAAAATGTTTCCAGACAAATATAAACAGAACGTTATTTTAAGAAATCAAGTAAAAAAATGCACCCTCCACCCAACAAATGCTGAGCAAAAATTGTTTATAGGAGGATTATTTTGAAAGCTTTCTAGGAAAGGTGACATGCTCTGGGTAGTTATGCAATACGCAGTTCTGCTATCCACCTAAGACTTTTGGATGCACTTCTAGTCAAGATTGCCATAATTAATTGCTACTATTTTCCCCATGTTTTGTCTTATAGTAGCATGGAAAAAGATGTTTCACTACTTTCAACTCAGCAGGTGAGGATCCAGAGAATGGATTTAAAGCAGGACATGTCAAAGCAGGAGTATCTTAAGTATCAGCAACTAAATAAATGGGAACAGCAACAATGAGAGGGTTTGGAATCTAACCAAAAAAAGTTTGAAATAAATTGATTTATCCTCTCTTTTCCCTACAATAACTTACAAAAGGTAAACCCTTGTGAACTTTTTTCTTGGAGATCGACTACAGGAAAATTGTTCTTACCTACCATACTCATCCATACTTCCATTTATATCTAGTCTAAATTTATTATTTCTTTTCAGACTTATTCCTTTTAGTAGTTAACTATTTTAAACCATTCCTTTCTTTATATTCATGAAGGTCCTGTTATAACAGGCAAATAATAATACTCTTTCCACTATAATTTCAAATACCTGTATATTGGATTTCTCTTTGTTCTCAAATACAAACACACATTTTTCTCTTCCAATACTATTTTTTTGTTATTCATAATTTTTTTTTTCCTTATTCATGCATGTATAGACTGTCAATTTACTTGGGTTATTTCCCCATAATGATGAAATGAAACTCATGGCTCAAGTGTTTTGGTTTCAGAATTGTCTTCAGGAAAGGATTTATCAATTCCCTATTCTTAAAAGGCACACTCATCCACATACTAATTGCTGTTTCCTTCAGTTATTTGCAACCGACTCATGCAGTGAGGTTGTAGCACCTGCCACATGCTCAATATTTGCATACCCTTTCTACACCATTGCTTTCTTTCTAACTCCTCTCCATTTTTGAACATCTGCCTGATGTCAGCATTCCTCACATGCACTGCTTCTGCAATATTAAAATTAAGTGTCAATATGTTTCTTATTTTAAATGCCACTGCTGATTCTGCAAATTATCACTAACATTACTTCCAATTTGTAGTCCCTGAGCTTTCGCCTGTTTCTTCCATTTGGAAAGAAGGGGCAGCTCTCATTAAGTACACTGCCTGACAATTCCTACCTATTCCTTTTAGAGGAGCAAGTTCCCATACTAACATTTAAGCTACATTCAAATGTGCCACTCTGCTTTATTTTCCCCAGGGAAATTTAAAGTTAAGGCAGCATATTCTCTATCACAGAAATGCCCCACCGTGACATAACATTAAAAGAATTATGCCCATTTACATGAGCTGAGAATCTGGTCCAAAAGCTGACAGAGCAATTTGCCAGGAGTCTGAGGACCATAGTGACTTTACTCAGATCTTTACTAAGAAAACATCATGACTAGAAATGACAGTCCCATAAAGGTTATCTTTTATCACAATCAAAGAAGGCAGGTGCATAATGTAAGAGAGCAAATAGTATAGAGACTGCAGCCTGCACAAGGCACAAATCTAGATGAAAAATTATGATCTGAATTTCATTTAACATTTTCTGTGCACAATATTTAACCACTACTATGATTTCTGAAAATACTGTTGGCAAAAGCCAGGACCTTTGATTTGGAAGTACTGGTTAAGATCCCTACAGAAATTGTTTCACATAATACTTGGAAACTTGAGACTTAATTTTACTTAAGAATATTCTAAACAATATCTAATTTTAGATTCAAGCATGTGTAATTTGGAAGGAACAAAGATTTAAGTCTAGAAAAGGAGTGTCTACAAGAAAGTTGAGTGAAGATCTCAACAAGAAATGGGCAAACAGATCTCAGTTTAGGAAAATTTTCTTTCTAAAGAATTGGATATTACTATTGATTTATCTTTTAAATTCACTCTGAAACAAAGGTTCCACCTTAAATAAAACACACAATTGTGCAATAGGTTTAACTTTCCCTAATGGGGCTGGCCATAAGTTACTTCATGTTCCCCCTCCCATACCATTCAATACAATTGCCACACAAATAGTATTAAGAACTTTCATTTAAACCCCTTTCCAAAAATACCATGGAACACATGCAAATTATTTCAAAGATGAGCTATTAACAGATCCCTTATTATTTTCTTTCCAAATCTTCTTTCCATCACTTACTACAGATTTGTGCTACTATTTGATCTGCCATTTCTATGTTCTTTTTTAAAATGTTGCCTTATCCAAAACATCCATTTTTATAGCATGGATCAGACTGGCAGTGAAAAGAAGCAGAATTTAGCTACTTGTTGTTATACTTTTGATGTGTCCTGATTGTCTTAAGAAATTTAAAGTGAATGTGAAGAACATATCCAACATTTTTGAGTTCACAATTATGACTGCCTTGCTTGCTTTGTCTTCTGTAGAGTATGACCATGATAGAACAGAAAGTGACACTGAGGAACAGAACAATTTCATGTCAATTAGTTTGTTTTAGAAGTTTTTACTTCTAAATATCTCTCCATGTGGTATTCTGTGTGAGAATGTGTGTCTAGAACAACCTCTGTAGTATAAAATTTCATGGTGTCATTTTTTTCCTGGCTTTATGTTTATTCACTAATACTAAATCATGAATTTAAGGGTGAGGATTCTAAAACAAAGATCTCTCTCTGCCTTGATTCTAGCTAATAGGCATAGTATGTCACCAGAAGTATCACATAGTTTATTCTCCCAAAAACTTGATTGTTAAAGAAATTTGCCATTGAAAGGATCTTTTCATCAAGAGATTGCATAGAAAGCTGCAGTGTATTCGCACCTCAGTTTTCTTGCATCTGGCCTGCGAACGATTACAAGCTCAGTGACTTCTATTTGAGAGTGAGCAGAATTCAACTTTAAGTCAGACCTTAGAGCTAGATATGATAAAGCATGCAAATAGAGCAGAAATTATCAAATAATTAACTTTCACTAGATAACCATAGCAGATTACGTACTAAAATGATTGTGCTGAGAATAACGGTAACAGTCGCAGCATACAGCAGATACAAACAAGCCATGGCTCTAATTGTTCCGAGTCTTCACCGAACGATCGTTCAAAGGGATAAATGCAGTTATTAATTTTTACTATGCACAAAACTATTCCTTTCTAAATTCCTTGGCACATAACATTATGCAGCTTAAACTTTGAGTTCTAGAGAATTAATTGCTGAAAGTCTGATCTTACTTTATGAAGAAAACTCAAATATCATTTACTGTTGTCTGTATTATTATACAGGCAAGATCTATTAATTTCTAAAAGATTTCTGTAAAAGTGGATAAGAGGAGTCATGACTGATAGGCTAACTCTTAATCCTTTTTTCTTTTTCCATGTTTTTTTTTCCCCTTTTAAAGCACAAATACAGTATACAGGAACCATGCCATTGAATTTTTGTATTATAGGAGTCTGTTAAAATTTGCACAGCTGGCATCCAAACATATATTAAGCTATCTTATGAAATAATGTAAGGATCCAAAACATTAAAGGCAAACAGGGAGCTGTGAGTCTATGTGCTCCTGGGTTACTATAGCTCAGCCACAGTTTTCAGTTAAGGTATCAATCACAGACAGAAGATATATGGCGATTCTTCAGAGATACCAATTTTATTTCTTCCTAACACTAATATTCAGGAAAATTTTAGATATGCAATTTTGGTTTTGGAAAGGGATTTGCTTTAGCTGTTATTAAAGCCAAAGTTTGATTAACATTCATTAAAATGTTAATTTTAAACAAACCCTATCAATTCGGTCAGGTTTCTCATACGCATTAAAATGAAACCCCAGCTAGAGAAAAAGGAAAACACAAAGGGAGAAAAAGGAGAAAGGAAGAAGATGGGGATGAGCAGACAAACTAATCAGATTTGGTGTTACCAGCCAGCGGAAGTTTTAAAAAAACAGATCACCGAGTGAAATCGTACATTTACTCGGAGAGAGCATCCTTTGACATTGCCTTCTAGGTGATCTCTGAGCTCCTCCAGCTTTCGATGGAGCTACATGTAAACATCAGAAAATGAATTGAAAAAGCAAGCTGTTCTCTTGTCACTTTTTTTCTTTTGTTCTTTGTTTTACTTTTTTAAACAAATCATAGCATAACACATTTCTCACTGCCTTTGGCAAAACATTTCAAGACATCAAAGTGCTCTGCACAATACAAACATATATACTCAGTAAACTTTGAAACTGGATACAAGGCTTTTTTTGCTTCATTAACAAGGATCTTTTTCAGGACAGGAAAATATAAATATAAAAAAATAGGGAACGGACTATAAAGCTACTGAATTGACTACATTATTTATTTATTGGCAAGGCAGTGTTGTAGATTTTTCATTAAAAATAACATTTTAGGAGTGAATTTTAACACACAGAAATCTTAATTAGGATTTTATATTGTCTATATGGGTATTCATAACAGATTTTGTGCATCTAAATACATCTTTTGGTAGTGAAATTAAATCTTGGGCAGTCAGAGAAGGAAGTAGGAATCCTAAGATAGGTGTTAATATTTGAACATTGAACCCCAGTGCTTTTTAAACTAGTGACTTTCATTCTGATGTCACATTCATTAAAATAACAGATGAATACGAGCCCTTAAATAAGCTACACCTCTTGCATATATATTTATGTGTATACAATTGTTCATGATGAGCCATCAAAAGGTGAGAGTCATAATAATTATCTGCACAGCGTTTAAAACAGACCAGTAGCTGTGCCTGCCAGTGCTTTCCTCTGTGTGAATTCAGCACTATTGAAAGTCTGCTACAGAAACAGCAGTCCATCCGTCATGGACAGAGTCCATCAGTCATGGACAGAGCTCTTGTATTCTCAAACCTCTTCCCAAAATGTAAGATAAAAAGCTAAAGCCTCACAGACAGTGAGGAATGCTACAGGTGCCTCTAGATATGGCTTGTATAAACAAATTGAAACTGGCCTCTTTTTCTACACTGAGGTCAATTTAAATGGTGCCATCACTGGAAAGTGGTGCATAATTAATCCTTCTCCTCCCCTTCTTTTTGCTCAGTGAAATTACGTTTTCACAAAGAGCAGCTGTAGAGGAGTGTTGGAGAGCAGAGAGGATGGCTTGTCCTGGAACAAAGGCAGTATGCACACATACAGGAGGAAACAAAAAAATCAAAAACCAAGGAGGCAGGAAAGCCAAGGAAAGTGCAGAAAAAAATTAATTAGCGCTTGAGAAAGTGCTAAAAAGGAAATAAAGTAGAAAAAAAAAAAGGTGAAAAATTGGATGGTAGAAAAATAGCCAACTTTTGAGACGGAATCTTAACAGAATGCCCTAATCTGCCATGATCAGCGTCTTGGCAAAGCTGGAGAATTTCCTGGGTTTTTAACCATTTATTAGTGTGTAACACTATTTGTGAGTGGGTACAGCTTTGGGAATCTGCCTGTTCTCTTAAATGCTCTAAACACCTGAGTGTGTTAGTGCAGACATGAAAAAGGCAGGATTCTGAACTGGCTAGCTATTAGCAAACAGTGGCTCCATTCTTCTTAGCCTCACTGGTCTCTCATTTCCTCTTTCTTTCTTTTTTTTTTTTTTTTCTGAATTAAAGGCTAGCTAGACACTAAGCAGTCGGCTTCCTTTTACTGATCTTTTGTGGCATTAAATGCAAAATGTGTGAGCACTCTACACGTTTAATTACGCTTCAAGAGGGGGAAGCGGTCCTCTGAAGATGAGTAAGTCACTTCTCTGTGTAACAGGCAGTTAAGAGACAACAAAAAGCATAGATCAGAGAAGTGGTTTAATCATGATCCCCAAATGACAGGCACTTCGAGAAGGTCGCTCCTGTCTCCTGTTTGTGATGACATTCAAAGCTAACTAGTTGGCAGCTCGCCTTCAGCAGGTTGTTCTATGTGTAGCACAGAAACAAACAAAATGTGACCCAACAGCAATAAGAATACTGAAATAAAAGTGATGGAATGGTGAGAAATGGAAAAAGCCCCTTCCCTCCCTCCCCTCACCTCCCCCTTCAAAAGGAAAAGTGTAGGCTATAGAAGAGAACTTGCAAAATAAATGTTAGAAACATATTTACTTTGAGGGATCCAACTCTACTAGCAACTCCTTTGCTTTCATCCGGCCGTCTAATTTGCTACAATGGGGGAAGATGGGTAAAAAAGACAGAAGAATAAAGAAAAAGTGAACTTAAAAAAATTTCCACACAATCAGTTAGCAGTACATGCAAGACATCAATTTGACTCTCTGAGACATCTCTAGAGGACAAGGACACAGACTTTAATTTCTGGAATAAACGATGCTTTACCATGTCATTTTAAACTTCCTTGTTGATAATTTTTACATGCTGAATTCACCTTTTTTTTTTTTTTAATTATTTTAGGAATACATGCTACTTCTCTGATTTGGATATGGAGAATAATGAAGTCCTAAACTAACAAAAGAGAAAAAAAAACCCCAAACCCCCACAACTGTATCTTTTACTACAGTTAGTATTTGATTCAGATCACACGATCCCACTAGGTTATTACTGCGAGCATCAAGCCTGACAAGTATCACTGCTGATACCTGACAGAACGCAATACAGATTCCTATTGACCCAGGTAGAGAGATTTTAGCCATTGCTATCAAGATCCCCAGTTAAAAAATTATGCTGCCCAACCAGAAAATTTTAATGCCAGACCAACATTGTATTTTTATTCAAATATGAAATATGCGCACAATTTCTTTCCCCACATCTCTCGCCTGATTCTGTTTTCCTTTATTAATGATTTTTTTTTCCTGAAAGATGCATAGAAGGGAAGAAACAATTGAAACAGCTGCTTTAAAGGCTTTGTATTGCTAGCAGCATGTATAACAAAACCATTCATTTACAAAAAGAGGTCTTCTCAGAATTGCTAAATCCAGCAAATAGTCCCTTTTTTTTTTTTTTTTTTTTTAATTGTTGTGAAATTAAATCCAAGTCAGGTCTTTTGATATAGAGAGAAAGAAAACAAGAAAAATGACTTGAGGAATATCCTTCTTGGTAATCTGAGTCAAGACTGAACTGATACTTTTTATTATCTGATGGTTGTTCCATATTATATGTAAAATAGTTTAGTCTTATTCAAATGTGGTGGATCCTTTTAAAATTTTAGGAAATCTCAGAAAGTAAGACAACGCTGGCCTGGGACAGAATAGCAAAAGCAAAATTTATATTGCCACCACTTGATTCTTTCTGACCAAGAAAAAAATTGCTAAAATATCCAAAACAAGGTCAGTTTATTTTTTTTAATAACTTGCACTAGATTTTTGAGAAAAATAATGCAACTAGTTAATATATTAAGGTTTTAAATATTCACTTCTAACAGGATGCACACTGCTAAAATCCACTGGAACTTTTAAGGAAATTGTTGCTTTCCTCTCTAGTCTTATCACACTGGAATACCATCTGTTTTGAACTCTCTCAAATGAAATGCCCACATTATCATTATAGTAGGACTCCAAGCAAATCTGCAAGCTACTCTAGTATTCTGACTAAGAACAAACTGCCATCCTTAAAAGAAATTTGTCTCCATTAGACTAAAGAGTCAATTGAAGTATATGCAGTTGTAACCTACTTGTTCTGTCCTTCTTAATTCAAAAGAAAAAAAAAAAAAGCCTTGAGGAAAAAAAAGGGATTCTTAGTTGAAAAGAAAACAGGAGTTAAAGCAAAGGTCCTTTGATCAGCCTCCTAGTTCAAGCAATAAGGCAAACTGAAGCAGAATCCAAATTCATGATATCAATTTTTTTTTTCATATCAGATTTTCTCTAAAAAAATGAGAAATGCACTGAAAAGAATATGCTGGTAATGCCACACAACAATGTGAAAGCAATAAGAAGATATTAATAAAAAATGTATACATATCACAAACCTCAGAAAAAGTTGCATTCCCTTGAGGGTAATTTTTTTGTGGTAACTCCTAGTGTAGGTCGTGCAGCAGCTCAAGCTGTGCTAACGGTTTAGAAATCAGTCCACGAAGAGGCTGAGGTTACCAGGTGCATAAAATTGACATTTTCTCCTCAAAACTTATGCTTTTCAAGTGTTTAATTATAAATGCTTGGAAAGTTAAAACATGAGGACAGCCTAAACATCAAATCTTACTTTACATTCATGGCACAGTTCATTTCCAAGATAGCTTTTTTTATTTTATGGGAACCTTACACTATTCAGCATGCAGTTTGGATGCTTCTCAAGGTATGTATGAATCATAGCGATATGAACATTGCACAAACTAGGCTACATCTCTTTGGAAATTAAACAGAATATTGACAAAAAAGCAGGGATAACAGAAATAGAAAACCTTCCCCCCCCCCCCCCCCCCCCCCCCCCCCCCCCGCCTTGACAAATCTCACAGGAAGGAATTCAAGTTAATTCCTATTTCTAGTAAATTCTTCCTGTGCAATGTTATGGAAGCTGGTAGATAAACCAGGATTTTGGAAAATTGCCATGAATTACACACTCCTTATTTTTGAAGCATTCAGCTTGATGCAAGAACTCTGCCACAGAGAAGGTGTGGACACTTGCAGTTGGGAAAGATCAGAGCAGAAACGCTGTGTGCGTACGTGTTGCAAGTCAAAAGCAGTTGTACCCATCAGGAACTTGTGTGAGCTAGGACAGTTTCTTGACTTCTCTATCACTGACTTGTAAAGGGAAAAAAATAGTTCCCCCTAAGTAAAATATAGGACTAACAAAAAGAATCCAAACAATGAAATTACAACTAAATTTTGGCATCTCAGGCCTTATGCCTCAGGCCCTACTTACTACTTTTATACCACAACACAAACTAACTGTCGTGATATCGATTATGAGACAGGCAGAAGCAACACTAAGTAGTTACTGTCAAATATTAGCTGAAAGAAATGAAGGTTTTGGAACAATCTGAACATGTTAAATGAAACTGTTCAGTGTAAGGAAGGAAGGTAGGTCTCTGAAAGGAGCTCTGCAGGAGACTGGCAGGGCAAAATCCAGCAGCAGGTAAGGTAGGTGCATTACAATGATATCCCTTTTTTATTCACAAGGGAATAACAGTAGGAATTAATAGCTAAGGATTAGCCACAGATATCTGGCATGAATCCTGAAGAATAAGGTGTTCAAACTGATGAGACAGGAAGCCAAGGGAAGTGAACTTAGGAAGCAGGGAAACCAACAGAGAGCAAAGAAGAGTCCTCATCAATGCACAGGGGACTTGAGAGAAGATAAATGAAAGTTGGTTACCACAAAACAAGCACTTGATATGAGCATGCATCTCATATGTGGTTTCATTATTACTCCACTACCTTCTAATACAGACTATGAGGAATTTGCCTGCTTACTTGCCTGATTTTGCTCTAGAAAAAGAATGAAAAAACCCCTACCTGGCTGGCATAAGCCAGCAGACTTCCTCACAGGTCATAAAGAACAAACAATTCTGAACTAATCTTAACTTCTGTCATTAGTTGGACTTTATAGCAGAATTCCAGAAGAAAACAAATGACCTGAGTTACTTAGCGCCATCCATCTTAGATTCCTTCCTCTTCCTGACAACCTACCCTGCTCTTGCTACATGAAAGCTTCTCCACTTCTGACAAAGCAGCATGAATTTTATAGGACCAAAAGCTTTCAGAGATGTTTTTTTTTTATGCCCTCTTCAGCCTTTCAGCAGAAGGCTAAATCTCTTCAGATCCCTTCCAAAATCCTGATAAATACATAAACATTTCATATTGGTAAATCCTTTCTGATAGGATCAAACCATTTAATTTCAAAACTGAATAAATACAACCCTTCAATGGAAATCCTTTACTATAATGGTTTAAAAAGATGTTACTTTCCTTATTCGTTGGTCAGGCAGTGCTGGAATCAGGATTATCAGAAGACATTATACTACACAACATACCAACCAAATTCTGATTATGTCTTGGGCATATAAGAAAAACATAAAACATATTCCCTCAGAGCTCAATGATGAAAAGTGGATAGAGAAAACTATTAATATTACTTGTACAAAATTTCCATACTTCATTACATCACACAACCAGCGAATATTTTCTAGGTTTTTTCTTTTTTTTTTTTTTCTTTTTTTTTTTTTCTTTTTAGGAAAAGAAAAAAAATCCTCATTTTTTTGCAGTGACTGCTTCAAGGTATTTATATAACCTAAAGTTGCCTTAAGCTCCTAACCTAAATCCTTTAGGGTATGGAAAGTTAAATGGTACGAATATCAACTACTGAATTTTAAATCACAAGACTTGCCTGCTCCATCTTTGTCAACGTCACTACACATGTTGTTTACATAAGTGTTTATAAAGTTGTCCCATTTAAAAGGAGGTTTCTGGTTGCGAAACTGTGATGTTCACAAGCTCTTATATGCTGTGAGAAAAGACTTCCCTTGTTTTTCCAGTTTTACCTGCCAATAATCCCCTCCAGCAACAACCTCATCTCAAAACCCAGGACATCTTGTTAAGAAAGGAATCATCAGTTTTGGAAATCTATAGTAAAGCTATGCATATGATGTTCTTGTTTTCATTGCCTGGTTGTTTTCATTCTCCTGGCAGGAGAACTCCACAAAGCTTCAAATGTGGCTTTTCCTTTTTTACCAGAGAGACAAAGGTAAAATGGGGAAAAGGAGCAACACGATGAACCATTCCCCCAGTCCAATGTAACACAATAAAAAGTCTTATGATTCAGTAAAGAGGCAGATGAATATAAAAAACAACATCATGAAAAAGATCTTAAAGATCTCATCAACAGAAACACATACCTAAATATTATAATCCAACTAGCAGTGGCTTCACATCAGTGGATTAGGAACAGAAAAACTGGTAGGTTGACAGAATCAAATAAGGGAATTGAACACCAGGGAGGAGTTCACATCTTATGAAGATGGAAGACAGATTCTGATTCTTTGCAATGTTTGTCAAAATGCATGGTACAGAAAAAAATGAAGAAATGTAAAGAACAGCCACAACTAGAAATAAGGAATAAATTGTCAGTATTCTGAATTTGGCAAGAAATTATTTTAATTAGTGGAGTAATGTCATAGTGGTTGTTAATATATTTGATGTGGGATGCTCTAACTTCCCACATTCAAATGATACCTTAAAAAAATACACAGGCAGTGCTTTCTACAACCTTTACTTGTG